TCCATTCAATCTGATTAGGTCCTGAAGAGAAAGCAAAAACCATAGGGACAACACATGCATACCGCAATCATGCTACAGGGAGATAAGCAAACATGGGTAGTAGGTTGTACAAATGGAGATGGTATACCTGATGATTCCTTGCCTCCAGAACCTCGCCTAGGTTCCGGCAGAGCTCCCGCAATCGGTGGGTGGACTCCCCACAGAGTCTTGATGCGGACCTACGGGTTGCAATCTCGCCTGCCGCCTTCCCCTCGTAACCAGCAGACTAGACTTAGATTTAGAAAGATAAAAAGAGAAAAGTGTGAGACTCTAAGATCCAAGAATGGTGCGCTCAGTCTCGCAAGAGAGGGTCTTGAAACCTTGATTCGCCAGAGGGCCCCGCAATGGCGGCCAACTGATAGCTTGGTCAACGAAGTCAACCTGCCGAAGTAACTCTCATGACGGTCCTCCAATCTGCAGCAATGACCCCTGACTTGTTCAACCTGATCGTATCCGCCCAGCAGTCTGTAACAACCTTTAGATACAGCAACAATACTCGGCGATAGCCAACAACCGCAATTTTCACCACCAGCAGCGGCAGCAGTCACCAACAACAACGACAACAACTGTTATAATCTGTGCCTAGACGCAACACTCTGTTATAGCCCGGACCCTAAATGCAATAGCGAAATCTCGCCTTTTCGTCTACACCCAAACTGCAACTCTACAATGTCTCGACATCGAACTTAGCGACCAGCAAGAACCACATTCACACAAGTGCGACACTGGCAGGAGGTAAGTTCTTAGACTCGTAGTTCGTCTGCCCCTCTCACCCTCTTTTTTGCAGTTCCTACAGCATGGACGCACCTGGCCGTTAATGTGGCCAGGTTCCTTCGAACCCTGCTATGGGCCGTAGGCGGGGACACGACTGAGGCAATGCTCGACACGACTTCGAACTACCAGTAAGCCACGTCCGCACCTTTCAGACCTGCGCGCAGTGAGAACGGGAGCGGCTACTTCTACCGGTAGGCTAAGCAAAACCAGAATGACTCTATCGCTAAAAGCGGCTAGATACATCGTCATTTATTTATTCATTTATTTACTGGAAGTCGTTCCCTCCTCCCACACGCAGCCTTCTTTTTGACTAACCATATTTTTACTAACTCTCATTTAGATCTAACCGCATAGTCAGGGTCGCCGCCCTCGAAAACCCCCGAATCATGCCTTCAATCACCCGTTTCCACTAAGAAACGGGTGAGATAGGTACCTTCAGGCTCCCTTCTTCTTCATCTCCGACCATCTCCGCGCACAACTCTTCTCACTAATCTCCCTTTCTACCATCTCATCACTAAAACTAACCTCATCACGTGATTCGCCCGGGGTCAAAACCCCGGGGCCGCCTCTTCCTCCGCTCGGTTTCATCGTGGATCGAGCGGGCTTTGCAATTTTTTTTCCCGCCATCTCTTACTTCGTCGTTTGCATCTCCTTCCTCACTTCCACATGCACCTGGCGCCAAAACCCGTCCGAATTCATTCAGTTTCTCAGTTTTCCCTCTTCGTCTTCACCTCGCCTCTCCGCGCACTAACTTTTCCTACTTACTCCTCTTTTACTAATTTTCCTCTCAATCTAACTTCATATTTTCGTTCGCCATCCTCCAAACTTCCGATTCCGACCTTTCTTCAACTCGATTCCAGTGAGAATCGAGAAGGGCATAGCCTTCTTCTTTCCCTTCCGACCTCCTCCATAGCTCGACGCGGCTCCTTTTCTACTAACAGCTTAAACAACTAACTTACTACTCAAACTAATAGTTCCATCACACTCGCCATCCACCAAAACCCCCGAAACGACTCCCTCCTCGCCTGATTCCGTTTGGGAACGGGCGAGGTACTCACCTTCGACCTCTACCATGACCGTTCTTCCTCGTCTTCATCCCCGAATGCACCCCGACCAGATCACCGTCCAAATTCATTCCCCCTTCGCACTATCCTCGCTTCACCCCTCCGCCTCGACTCTCCCGCAGCGCCTACACAGCCCGCTGCGCTACCTTCCCATCCGCAGTTGTGCAACACCGCCTGCCAGTCGAAATGGCCTGGCCTCACTGCCTAACGATCCCGGTTGCTCCGTTCGTCTCACTTTGTCTCTAACTGCCCCCGCTCATTCCTCCTCTTCACTGCCCTGCCGCCCGATTGCACAGTCACCCTGCCATACCCGACTCCCCACCTTCTCCCCTCCGCCATTTCGCTGCTTGTCATCCACCCCTTCTCTACTCCAGCCCGGGTTGACATCAACTTGGCCTTCCAACGCTGCAGGGTCCGACGGTCAGTCGAGCGCCAGGGTGAGAAAAACACCCCGCCGTCGGCCCTTTTCTCGGTTTTATGCGTGTTGCCCCCGCGTGCGCCTGTGCAAATCTGCCCTGTATCGTTCCAATTTTAACAGATGTCCCGAAGGACTTAGCCGGGTCTATGCCCCCACAACAGCACTAGAGGGCACTCCGCCTGCTCTCCGCCTGCGCTTGGCTCGATTCACGTCCAGGTTCACCCCGGATCTTGTTTTGTCCTACGTCACCCTTACGTAGGGGCCCTGCTAATCTCCTCTGCAGTATATCTCCTCTGCAGTATTCCGGCCCCGACGGATGCCCCGAAGGACTTAGCCCGGGCCATGCCCCGCGACACTTCGAGGGCAGAGCAGGCCCAGGCAGCCCAGAACATTTGGTTTTCGTCATCGAGCTCCATCATCCGGGTTTGGAGATAGGTCTGTACTTCAGCAGTTTAATGGTGTACCCATTGAGATGGGCCTTTAAGTGTCAGCCGCGCCCATGGCACTGCGCCCCAATGGCAGAAAGGGTGCGACTCCGGCACAGACCATGAAAACAGTTTGTAATTGCACTTCAGGCAATCCTGCGAATTCTACACATCGCATGCGACCCCGCCGTAGTGTCGCGTTCCCGAACGGAACGCAATAAAAAAGACCAAAAATAAAAATCAGGAAAAAAAAAAAAATAAAATAAAATAAAATAAAATAAAATAAAATAAAATAAAATAAAATAAAGAATAAATAAATAAAATAAAACTGAGCTAATCATAACATTGTCGGGGAACAACGGGGCTGTTAACACCTCCCCAGTCCTGCGGATCGGGCCTGCCGCCACTCCCGTTAACAAAACCGAGGGGGATAGCCCGACGACCCTCAACCCCGTCGGTTCTCTCCTCGATGCTCTGTTGCAGCCGCGTCGATGCTCGCTAACCTCGATCCCCGAACCTTCGCAGTGTCAGTCCAATGTCGTAACCTATAGGGCTGAGCCCAAGCCTGAGACCCACGTCCACAGAGTACCATACAAGACGGTGCGGCGCGACGCTTTGGGCCATCAAACGGGCTGCGCGACTCCCAGTGCCCGCGCCGGCTTGCTTATACCATGCCATAATTGCCCCGCGCGCCATCCTACGACATCCCGCTCACCACACAAAATCGCGCCGTTATTGCCGATGCCGACGTCGGGGTCGTTCTCTGCACGCGCGCCCGACTCGGTCAAATGTACCAATCAAAAGAAAATATCCTTAATTCCTGCTTAATCAAAAATAAATAAATAATAATAATATCACCAATAAAAAACGACCGAGGTCCGGGCCGGCTTTACGATCAACAACATAAAAGAATCATGCGCGCTTTAAACCTGCGCGCCCACGCACTCGCTATTGTGGTCAACCACCCAGTCAACGCAATTACAGACGCGGCCGCGCTTAGCGCGGTATACTTAAACTTTAAACAAAACAATTTTCTGTTACTTGCAAAAACCCAGGGTGGATACCCTTGTAAGGGTATTTGCACCGACAGCTTACCGGACCATATTAAGCGACGTCCCCGTCGCTTTGCCAAATCAGAAGACTATAAATCCATCCACACTCCAAATGCTGACGAAACAGGAATCAATCCGATTAGCCGACAAACACAGGGTAAAGGCCTCCATCAAAACATGCCTCCACAACTATATGCTGCCAGGTTTTTAACCTGGGCCTCTCACCGCCCAGAAATTAGGACGCTGACCGCATAAGTTCCAAAGACTTTCCCAATCGTCCTCTCCCCGGTCCTAGACAACCTTCGGCTTCTCGTTGGGTGTCCCTAGTCCTGGCAAAAACTAGGGACGCGGGTCTTAATCGAGACCTTTTGAAGGCACTCTCGCCTTCCTTCTCAAAATCTTTCGCAATCAAATACACATAAGTATATATGTATACTTAATATCCGCTCAGCTCTTTCTGCAGTCTAGTACAGAAGTGCTAGGTGTCCACCTTGGCCCACCATAGCCTGGCTGATCGGACCAGGACCACGACCCACCTCATTGTTATTTAGCAGCAGTACCCTCGTTGGTTACGCAACAATAGGTTTTGTCCTGATAAGCATTCAACCAGAATTTCCCCCAAAAATTCTCAACCATCACTATCCCGCGGAGTAATTTCACTGGGGCGGGCACCCCCCCTTAAACTCTTACCCACGCGGTCCCGCAGCCAGGTTGCGCCGGCTAGCAGCCATCTAATGGGGTTACACCCTAGGGGTACTAACTTCTTTTCCGTTAGCTTAACCTTTCTTCAATATGTCTCAGAATTAGCACCAGTGGTTAGACGGGGACGTCGCAAAACAAAATCACTGGCCCATTGCGCGATACGCAGGGGTTCGAAGGCATTTACGAGCCCTCCCTCAACAGGCATGGCATCCTTCGCACGCTTACAAACAAGACTCCCTCGAGTTTTGAGGAGGGGAAGTTTGGTTTTATGGCGAGACCCCTCGTGATTTCTAGAAGAGGGAGTGTATTGTTTTATGGCGAGACCCCTCGTGATTTTTGGAAGAGGGGGTGTTTTGTTCTGTGGCGAGACCCCTCGTGATTTTTGGAAGAGGGGGTGTTTTGTTTATGATGAGAACCCCTTGGATTTTTGGCAAAGGGGATGTTTTTGTTGTTGGGAGACTCACCTTTAAAGGTGAGTAAACTGATTTATGACATGGTAAGTTGTCTGATGAGTGATAAAGTCTGACGAAAAGAGCCACTTTTGTTTGCAATGTTTGAGAAAGTCGCAATGAGTGCAGGATCTGTCTCTCAAAGGCCAGGGCGTAGGCCAACTAAATATGTACATGCCTCATCTAAATCACCCTGATCCTCAAGACCCCAACTCAGTAGGAACACTAGAGTTCAGATCTAGATTAGTAGCAATCATCAAAAGGTCATCTAAGTCTAAGAGGGTATCACACAGAACCTAAGTTGATGCCTCACAAAATATTCGCCCACTTACATAGACAAACCGACCCTACCTCCTCAACTCCTCCTGGTTTTGTCTATATAAATGAGCCCTAAGTCCATCTGCGGACTTCTCTACTATCCTACCCTGTCTATCATACATCATACCCCCTGCCTCTGAGTCCTTCCCTTCTGCCTTATCCTCAAGGAACTCGAGACAGTCCAGAGCCAGATGCATGCCCCTCTTGCAGTAGAAGCATAGCTGATCAACCTTCCTCCTGGACTTCTTCTTCCTAGGCTGAGGAGGTGGCGATGAAGGAGATCCTACCAAGGTACTGACCAACCCTTGCCGCTCTGATCGAGGGGTTGTGGTACTAACAACCTCATGCTGCTCCATCCTAGGAATCTGTCCCCCAGACACAGATCCAGTAGCCCAGGATCCCAGTCTGCTCCTCAAATCCCCTGTCGCTGGGACGTACTCAGGCGTGTCCAACCTCTGAAGTCTCCTCTCGAGTGTCTCTCGTGGCACTGCCATGGGCTGCTCCTCAATCTCCTCTGGTCCATACTCAGGCGTGCCCAACCTCTGGAGCCCGCCCTCGATGGCACCCTCCGCCTCAATCCCCATCTCTCTCTCAAGAGGCTCCTCTATCCGCTGCTCGGGTGAAAACAAACTTACCTCCTCCTGCATAGTATGCACTACCTCAAGGAGCACACCCATGGATCCCTCTGCTGAGCCTTGACCCGGCTCACTGCTAGATGGTGGCCGCCCCTCCTCTACTGCCAAAGGTACAACTGGGCCCGCCGCCGCCACTGGCAGCGTTGCGAGCTCGGTAGGGGCTCTGAACTCGAATGCCTCTCTCTCCGCCTGTCTCTGGGCTCTCGCCTCCTCTAGCTTCAGGATAACCCTCCCTATAGGTGGCTCCTGGCGAGGCTCTACTGCAGATGGCTGTCATGGTAACTCATGTCCTGGCTGCCTTTGCTCTCTCTGCCTGCTGCTCTCTGGCTTGTCCAACTTTCCCTGGGTTTGCTGCCTCAGGCTCTCAATGATAGCTGCCTGGATAACCACCAATGCCCTGAGTTCCTGGATTTCCATCTCCATAGCCTCCAGGCGTACTCCATGGCTTGCTTCCTTTATCTTCTTCCCTGCCAGATCGCCCTCCAATAACAAGTGCCGGTCAAAAGTTGTCTTGGCCAGGAACTTGATTTTTCGATCCAATCTCTCTTCCGCCTTTCTTGCTACCCCAAACCCGGCTCTGACTGGTGAAGGAAGCTCCTCTCCTCTCTGCTCCCAGAAGTCCCTCCACATCTCTGGGATCTCCGGGGCCCTAGCTGGCGTGCTGGGTGGCTGACCTGGGAGTGCTCCTGCTGCCTCCGATCTCTGCCTCTCCTGCTGCTGCTCCGGAAGCTCCCCCGGTGCCTCCAACCTCTGCCTCTCTTGCCATATCTCGTCTATCCTCCTGGTTCTTCTCGCCCTCTTTTCCTCTGCCGTCTCTCCAGCTGGCGCTATTTCCCTCCTGCGGAGGTCGACCCTCTTCGGGATCTCTGCTTCCATCTCCTTCTCGGGTTGGCACGACTCCTGGCGCGGCTCTGCAGGTGCTGGCTCTTCCAGGTCTGGGTGCTCCAGGGCATGAGCTGCTAGGTGTCTGCCAATCAGGGTCAAGGCTTCTCTCCTTACAGCTGCCCTCTCTCTCCTCCTTTCTGCTCTCTCTTCTGGCGAAGGGGCCTTTTCTGATGAAGGCAATGGGGCCTCCTCTCTCTGCAACCTCTCCCTTGCCTGGCGAGTGCTCCCTGGTGCATCCCTGAGTCTCAAACCCACCGTTGGCGTCTGTGGGGGCGTGTCCTCTCCAACTTCTATCACTTCCTTCCCTGCACGTCTCCCCTCATCGCCCAGCCCTCTCTCTCGCTGAGTATCCTGGACCTCCTCCCGTGACACCTCCTCTCGTGGTACCTCCTCTCGTGGCACCTCCTCCTGTGACACCTCCTCTCGTGGTACCTCCTCTCGTGGTACCCCCTCTTGTGGCACCTCCTCTCGTGGTACCTCCTCCGCCTGCTCTCCATGCTCCTCACCCTGAGGCGACGCCCTCCACCGAGAGATATCCAAATGTGTCTCCAACTCCCTCAAGGGCCCCTCAGATGCTGGCGGTTCCTCCTGTGTGCATGCTGGCTACCTCCTCAATCCACCCTCGGTAAACCGATGGAACTCCACTGGTCCCAACCCACACTCAGGGTATGCCCCTCGCTCTTCAGCCTCTGGCTCCGGCTGCGATTCCTCTTCTCTCCTGGCTAGGGCCTTCCGTCCTCCTCGAGACGGTCTCGCCTCCTTGGGCTCAGGATCCCTCTGCCTCTGACTCCTCTGACACCTCTCAATTCTGGGCTGAGGGGGCTCTGGCCGTCGAAAGGCCTCTCTCAGATGTGCCCTGCAGCTCTCCCAGTCCCGGACCATGCTTCTAACCTGCCTAGCCAGTGGTCTTTCCGCCTTCCTGGTCCAGAGTGGTAATGTTTGCATCCAATCGTCTCTCGGTATACCCTGCCCCTGCATGAACCACTCAAACGCGGGGATGAAGTCTGACGCATTTCCAATCTCCAGGCGGATCGGCCTGCCATCAGGTCGCACAGGCGAGGGTCGCAGCTCCTGCATCCTCAACTCCACCTTTGACCTCGTTGTCGCCTCTCTACGGATCTGTGCAACGGGCTCCTCGAATCTGCCGACTCCCCTCAGCCTCTCAATCCCCTGGGTCACAGTCCAACCCATACGCCGCGCATGCTCCCAGAAGCTATCTAGGAATAGCTCGATGTCGCCACCGTCGTACTCTGGAGTGCTCTCTCGATGGCGAGGCCCATGCCGCTCATATCCTCCTGATGCGCCCAACGGCCTCTGAGGCGGCCGTGTCCCCTTCCCTCCTCTTGGCATGGCTGTCTTCGTAAAGTCAGACCTGCACAACAGGCGAAGGAGACAACAGACACACATTGGGGTAAGCAAACAGGTGATAGTCAAAGCAAGCTTAGACCAGACCACACTCATGCAGCATACATCCTACCTAACCTACACACCCTATTACTTCTATTCTAAAGGCATTCAAGTCATCTCTCTTACCTCTTCTCTCGCCACAAATTTCTTCAACCGCGTTCCAGATATCCAATCCTTCCACTCAGTCTCATTTAGCTCTTCAATCTGGTATGCTCCGAAGTCTCAAGTCCGTACGATCCGGTAGGGACCTAACCACCTCTTATCGAGTTTTTTGGACCAATGTTTCTCCAAAGATGAATCATAGAGGAGGACGACATCCCCAACTGCCAAAGGTACTTTCCTCACCCGCGCAGACTGATCCCATCGAGTCTTATCATCCATTTGGCTTCTCGCCACCTGATCGGACGCCTCCTGGATCCTTTCTTCTATCGCCCCTATCTGTCCCGCCCGAATATCGAGTAATTCTTCGAATGACAGGCTAACTTCCAGATGCTAGCGCCTCCATGTCTTAAGGAAGCTCTCAGTAGGGAAGGTGGCGCGTCTTCCATACCACAGCGTTGTGGGTGCATACTTGGTGGACCTTTTTACTGTAATGTTTTCGACAAAGAACGCCTTCCTTAGGTATTTTGGCCATTGATTAGGCCTACCTTCAGTCCACTTAGCCAGGAGGCTCGTAATGGTAGTATGTCCTCTCTCCACGGGAGCATTTGCCGGGGGGTGCGCGGCCGTGGTGAAGTTGGCTGCTACACCATACCTTGATAACAATTCTTGCACCTCCTGGTAGGTAAACTCCGATCCCCTGTCCATTAAGAATTCCCTGACGAAAGGATAGCGTACATAGTACTCCTCGATGCAGCTTACCAAGACTGACCCGGTCTTTGTGCGAATAGCACGCCCGTCTACGAAGCCGGACATGTTATCGCGCGCATTGAAGATATAGTTATAGCCCTGATCCCCAAGTGGCATAAAAAGTAGATCGAGATGCACTACATCCCCCACCTCTCGCTCTAGCCTTGGATGCAGCGACTCTCCTTGCCTTAAATGGGATCCCTATTGGCAAGGTATGCAAGATCGACAGAATTTTCCGACCATGTCCATCATCCCATCCCAGTAGTACAACTCACTTATCTTGGCATACGTGGCTTGTACCCCTCGATGCCCTCCTGCAATGCCATCGTGAAGTGCTGCTACGTCATCGATCTGACGATTCCTACCGCAGACGACTCTCCTGGGATTCCCCACTTCTTTTCTCACGAAAAGGTGGCCGTCTCACACTAAGTAGCGCTGCAGCATCCTCTGAGCCCTATCGCTTGCATCCCTTAGCCGCATTTCGCAGGACAACAGAAGTCCTAACTCTAGGTAGATCCCATGATACTCCTCTGCAGGAAAGACCTCTTTAATCTCCCCTTCCTCGAACTCGTCGTCCTGGCTCTCGGACACTTCGTCCACATTCCCTGCCGGGTTCAACGAGCCTGACCGGCCGAGGCTTTCCTGCAATAGCGTGTTGACGAGAAGATACATTCCTCCCATCAGGTTCTCATGCCGTTCTACTTGGCCAGGTCCTTCCTCAATCGTCCTCATGTCCTCCACCAGGCTATGCGAGCTGGCCAGCGCTAACTCCATCATCCACTGAACATTCCTACCACCCTAGGGATCCTCTTCTTCAAAAGGTTTGAGGACTAGCTCAGCCCTCCATTCGTATCCACTCGGCGTTTGCCAGATAGGATAGCATACACAGTCGGGCACTTGCGGCGACCACTTGTTGATGTGGGGACGAATATCTTCCTCCTGATCCAAAAATCCATCAACTGGGGGCGTATTCTCCACCGACCCTCTTCTTGTTTATCCCAGTTGATCCGACTCAGCCCGTCTGCCCGGTTCTTACTGCCAGGAATCCGTTCCAATTCGAAATTGAACATCCAGATGTACGTTAGCCATTTGGCAACCGTCGGATCCGATGGAACGTAATTCCTTAGAAAGTAGGCTAGGGCGGTCGGATCCACTCTCAGAATAAACCTCATGCCGAAGATGTAGTTCCGAAAGATTCGCAGATAGTGGAGGACGACCAGAGTCTCCCTCTTGAACTGAGAATAGTTTCTCTCAGTCGTACAGAGAGTCCGACTCTCAAATTTCAAGGGCCTTTCCTTTCCCTCTATGTCTGCCTGGATTAGAACTTTTCCTAAGGCAGTTGGGCCCGCATCTGTTTCGACAATGAAGGGTCGTGTTTCTATGGCATCATAATCTGACGCTCCTAACACCAACCCTCCTTCTCGAAATTCCTCCTTCATTCTGGCCACCACCTCTTCTTGCTCTTCACCCCAAACCCATTCCTGATCCTGACGGACTAACTTCCTCAAGTGTTCAGTCTTAGCGACAAAGTTCTTGACGAAGGCCCTCCAAAATCCACACGTACCAAGGAAGCTCCTGACATCAGTTATTGAGTGGAACGGAACCGACCACTCAGTAATTTTGTCCGTTTTCTTTACATCCGACCTTCGACCCTTCTCGCTGCAGACGAACCCAAAAATAGTCACTTCCCTCATGCAGTGTCTGGATTTGGCCCCGCTCGCCGTGAGGTTATGCTCTTCGAGCAGGCTCAGGACCTTTTCGAGGTCCTGGATGTGCTTCCAGACAAAGCGCCTTACCCCTGGCGAGACTTCGTTGCTTTCTTTCACCGTCGGCCCCTTCACCGCCAAATCGTCGATGTATGACTGTGTGATATGGGGGCTGAGTGACTTCATAGCCCGAATTATGGCCCGTTGGACCATTGCTACCGCATTGGTCCATCCTTGCGGGGCCACGTTCATGTGGATTAGCCCTCGTGGCGTGTGCATAGCCGTCACAGGCCTGTCCGGCGGGTAGACTGGGAACTGATCATATCTGAGTAAAGGTCTATAAGTGAAATTATAGGCCTTCCAGCATAGGATTCTGACAGCGCGTCTGCATTGGGCAATCCTCTTGCATCCCGCACGGTCACCGCATTCAATCTTTGCAAATCTTGCACCCACCGCAGCGTCCCGTTAGGCTTGATAAAGCAGAACCACGGGGACGCATACGGTCCACTTGAATAGTCGGCGACGTGCGTACGTATTTTGCCGTCGAGGTAATCCACCACCTTCTTTTCCTCGTCAGGATTGGGATATCGTGCCCCTCTCATGTTCCAAGGCTCGTATGGCACGGTATGAATGTGGATCATAGATATCTTGTCCACATCCAGCCTGCCACGCTCCTCTTCGCTAAATGTATAGCCGCGATGCCTCATTTTCATCAACTCCACCATCAACGTTCGCTCCTTAGGCAGTAGGAAGTCGGGTTCCCCTATAATCAACTTCCCCTCGTTCCCTTCGTTGATACGACATGGCCCTGCTAGGGCACTCTTCCTTATTCACCATATCAACCCTCGTTCCCTTTCGTAGTATGCTTCCTCATCTTCTGTAACGAGGACGGGAACCGGGCGGTACTTTTTATCTGCCGTCTTGTACCGCCTTTGGGAACCCTGCTTGAGCCGCCCCCTAAAAAAGGCCAACTCACATATTGCGCCTGTGCTGATGCGGGACTCTTCCCGCCGCCCGGAAGCCGATATACCAGCTCCAACCTTCCTGGCTCGGGGCATTCCAGAACTTGCTCCCTCAAGGCTTGGATGGCATCTGGATCCGCCATCTTATGTGCGGCCACCAAGTCCATGGCCTTTCCGACGTCCGATAGGCTAAGGGAAAACGCTTTCAGCTCCTCTTCTCCTTCTGGCTCTGCCCGAAGCCTTCGGCGCTCGCCCTCCGATTCTTTGATTGTGAACGATCCTAGATTGGGCCGGTTCCTTATGCTTCTGCAGGTAATTATTTCATAATTTATGCAGGCAGGGTCACATAGGAGAAGGATTAGAGTCCCGTCATGCTTGTTGAACATCACGGTCTCTGTCCTACTTAGGAACGATCTCCCGAGGAGGATTCCATGATCCACGTCTGACATTATGAAGAAGCATGCCCTGACCTTCACCTTTCCAACCTCGATGAGCACATTCGAGGCTGTCCCGCAAAACACAGCCTTAGAGCTGGCTCCATGTAGAATACCGCAGTCAGAGTGGTCTATATCCAGCCCGAATTTGATTGCGTCCGCCTCCCGAATGATGTTCATTTCGGCCCCGGTGTCCACCATTGCCGCACACTTGGAGCTCTTTATCACGAGATCCACCGTGCCGCAGGCTACACACTTCCAGTCCATCTTCGTACGTGACTCTGCCCACTCTGCCTCTTTGGGCAGGATCGTACCCAGATGGACATTGGGCACCAGGCGCCGCGACAATCTCCCCTTCAGTTCATCGCGGAGTCGCGGGGCCGACGCTAGGATTTCCTTCAGTGTCATGAGGTCATTGTGCCCTTCTAGCAGTCTGTCGATCACCCGCTCTACATCAAACCCCTCCTCCAACCGAACCGCATACTTCTTCCTTTTGGGCGGTCCGTCGCGCACGACCGGCTCGACCTCTCCCCTGACTCCCTTTTTCCTTGCCCGCTGCTCCGCTCTTTGATCCTCCTTCCTGCGCAGCCTCTCGTCCTCTTCCTCCTCATTGTCGTCATCCTCCACTTCTACAACCTCCTTTCTTTTTCCTGGCTCCAGCTCCCTCCTTGGAGGCTCTTGGCTGGCGCTGGCTTTGGCTTGACTTCTCGTTCGTGTTGCCTGCGCCAGTCTGGCCTGCGGAGTAAGGGGTCTCCCCATCATTCCTGATTGTGGGCACGACCCCACCACATTTACTTTGGGTCACCCAGGCGCTGACTCCGGACCAGAGTCGTAGAGGAACACCTTGGGGATGTTAGACTTCCATTTCCTCACTTCCTCACAGAGGCCCACTAACTTCTGTTGGTACCTCCCCATCTTATCCAACAGGTCCTCCATTTTCCCCAACAAGACGGACTAAGGTTCCATCCTTTCTTCCTCATTTTCGTCATCTGACTCAATGATTATGGACTCTTCCCTCTTACTTCCTCCTCGTGGCCCTTGAGTCACTTCCTCATCGTTTCCCACTTCCTCTACCCCAATCGGTAATTCTTTCTTTTCTTGCCATAACCTGAATTCCTCTATCCCCACCGACGGTCCTTTCTTCTCCTGCCATAGCCTGAACATGGCAGGGGGTGGCGGTCCAGCTGCCGCCCTTCGTTGGGCTTCCGCCCTCACTCCTCTAAGCCTTCTGTCAATGGCCTCTCCAAACAGATCGTAGATGTTCCCATCCATAGTGGAGGAAATCAACCGGCTCCTCTCGTCTTCCCGTCTTATATTACAGAACCTTATAGTGTGGCCTTGCTGGTCACAAAGTTGGCAGATGGCCGTCCTCCAGTCAAAATGGGGTCTTCCATACCCCTGACTTCCCTGATCCGCCTGGCCTTGGTACCCTTGGCCTTGGTACCCCTGACCTTGATTCCCTTGGCCTTGGTACCCCTGGCCTTGGTACCCCTGGCCTTGATTCCCTTGGCCTTGGTACCCCAGGCCTTGACCATTCCATTGCCCTCCTCTTCCGCCGCCATTCCTGCCTTGCCCCCTTCCTCCACCCCTCCCTCCGTTGCCTTGATTGCCCTGCCCCTGGTTCCCACCTCCAGCCACGCTTCCCTGTGAACTGGGAGCGGGTGACGGTGGCGGGGCCACAGGCTGGGCCTGGGCTGCGGGGTAGATGGGTGGTGGCATACTTGTTTGCGGTCCGGCTACTAGTGGCGGGCTACCCTATGGTACGATTGCATTGATCACTGGCCAGAGCCACTGTCCGTAGGAGGGCGCTCCTCCTTGCGAGGGGCCCGTACTAGATGATGGAGCCGCCACATTCAAAGGGGTTGCTGTCAAGTCCTGAGGCGCCTGCGGTTTTCCTGATCCCTGTCCGCCCTGCGCCAAGTTACGCACTTTGCGCTGAACCTTCATCAGGCGATGCGGCACCGACTCTTCCTCTTCCCAGAGCTCCTTCTGAACAGCCTCCTCTATCACCGGCTCCGTTCCTTTCACTTGGACAGCCGTTACTACCTCCTTTGCACCACCGGCTCTATCGCATACCCCAGTTGTGCCAATACGTCTGTAACGATCCTTGTGAGCCCTGGGGTCCCAGAAGCGATCGCATCTCTTTCCTTTCTCTTTTGCCTTTGCAGGCGTACCTGACGTTGCTCCACCTGGTCCAAACACCCAACTTTCACCCCTCTGTCAATGGTGGCCCAGGCGAGCTTGGTGCTACGCCCTCCATGTCTCGTCAACTCGACGGTCTCCGATGCCGTGAGTAACCCTAGAAAAATGACGCATTGTGCTTCCTCCGAAATCTCATGGACCTTCCGCACCCTCTTCTTAAATTCTTGAACAAAGGCCCCTATCGTCGTAAAATCTTCTTTGTTCATCGCCTCAAGGTCCACGGTAGTCAACAACCCGTCTCCCAGGCGGTATTTCCTCTGCATCCCTTCCTTGAACCTCTCCCAGCTACCTTGGGCCGCATCTATGACTTTCTTCACTTCCTGGTGGTAGCTGTGGAGGACATACTAAAGAATGCGTTGGAACTTTACAACGTCCGACCGCCCGACCAAAGCTTGTTCCACCCGCTCCAGCCATTCTGAAACCCTCTCCCCACAAAAGTGGAAGGTATCGACTTTAGGGATATTGCTCGGGTTCCTTTCATGCCGGTCAATGACCGCAATGAGGTCATCGAGCGTCAGACCCTTCTTGGGACCACCCGATGCGCCGCCGCCCTGCGACATTTCCCTTCAAGTTCCCTGATAAGAAAGAAAAAACAAGCATACTTTTTTTTATTCAGCATCGCACCTTGACCGATCTATTCCATCCGTCCGACCTATCTCTTACTACGTACCTTTACCCAATGCTACACGTTCGTCCTTCATACCTTCCCTTACTCAGGTAGGTAAATTTCCTCACCTATACTTAGTCATTCACTATTTTTTCTCACTTTCTCGTCCTTCCTTTATGCCTTTTCTCGCTCACTTCTCATACCCGGATGTTGTTCCACCAGGGACAACGGTAGACTTTTCGTTATCCCTGACAACGGAGCCACCTGTCGAGTGCATCGGTCCGGCACCGCACCAGGGAAGCGCGGGACCCTCCCGGCCGCGTCACGCAGGAGTCGGTCTAAATCCTTCGTCGCAATATACATGGAGCTTCCACAAGCCGCTCCGGCCGAGTGTGCCAGCCATACCTCTCGCGAGCCCCTACGACAGGATATAGCCTACGCGAGGCACGACTTACCTACACCTTACGGGAGCTGTCACCTCCCTTCGGTGGGCGTATCCCCGCCGAGCTACCAGTCCACAGTACGAAAGCTAATCAGCTGCAATCGCAGAGGTGAACCAGCCGAGGGCGTTTCTCGTTCGCTGTAGCATAGGGGGTACGCGCGGTAATACGCCTCTATCGGACCCGCACGCGAATCGGCACCTTGGGGGGCTGAGGTCCCAAGCGCGGTTCGTCGCCGGTCGACTAGGACGCATCCCACACACCACGCGTACTCCACTTTACAAACACACATACAGAACAACACATATACAAAACGATACAACGCAAACAACACGACAACGCTCCTAGCCCCTCGGTAGCCAACCCATAACTTTCCAATGTGGAAATCGAATAGGCGTCGCGCGCGAAACTTAGTATAAAACCGCGTAGACGCAGGGCTAACTCATATCGACTCGCAATGCAAGCGTACGCAGGCAGTCGCGACAATGACATACTATGTAGTACCCATACTAAGACGATCCTCGTTAATCTCGAGGGTCGCGTTCGACACTCAAGTGTCGGCTGACACGCGCCTTGAGGGTTAATCTCTCGACGCTGGACAACCGCCATGCGCGGTTGAAGACCACACCCTCTTCTGCACCCTGTGCAAAGGGGTTGAGTAGACAATTTTAAGCTGTCGTGGCAGTCGAACATCAAGGGGTTTGACTTTGACGGCTGCCACGGACTATAACGTCCAACTATAAAAAACTCCAAAGAGCAGAGGATAACAGAGGGTTTTCCTTCTCACTCAAGCCCAAATTTGGTTAACCCTTGCGCATGATCACTGTAAGCCGCGCTCATACCCGAGACACTTATAGATATATAAGGGTTAACTATATAGGACGATCACTTCTCACAGGCACAGTGAGGCTCCTCTCAGCCATATATGTATGAAATCGCAAGCAACCACACCCAGAGTCCGAACCACAACCATACCTGTAATCACATCAACGAGTCAAATCGACAGCCCACGCGCTAAACGGAGTCAACCCCAACCATCTTCGACACTCATACCCCTCGCTTGCCCCTATGCTATTCGTGCTTCAAATGGAGGTGTTGTTATCTATGGTTAGGAAGAAACCGAAAATACAGGGACTTTTATTAAGTTCAGGTAAGCAATGCAAGGCCTCAGCTATGGCTGATGACTTGTTTGCTTTATCCACTAACACACCCTCCTCTTTAGGAGCGTTGAAATGTTGCCTTGACATTTACTCCAAATTCTCTGAGGCTCTTGTGAACTGGTCGAAGTCGGTGGCTATTGTGAGGCAAGATACTAACTTGGCAGTGGATTGGGGGYTTAAATGCCTTCCAGCAGAGGATTGCGAACGTTTTTTGGGTGTGCAGGTGGGGTTGTTGGATGGCAAGAAGCAAGCGAGCGCCTTGGTGGAAAGGAATATCATCTCTAGGCTCGGCAAGGTATCGTCCTTGAAGGGCATTTCGATTTTTGGTAGAGCCTTGTTCTTGAACACTTCCATTTTTCCATTGGCTTGGTTCCCTGGTTCCCTTAGGGGTCTGGAAAGATAAGCGTACAAGAAGATTAAATCTTTGTCAATTTATCTAAAGGTACACACGATGAGGACTCTGGTATCTAGCCAAGGTGGCATGGAAAAAGGTCATAGGGGATAAGGAGGATGGGGGTTTGGGTATCCTCAATCCCGAATCCCAAATTAATGCCCTCTTAGCTAGACCCAGTCTATTTGTTAACAGAAAAGAGTTCGCACCCATGGATGGACTTGGCAATTACCATTTTGGCAAAGGAATGGAGTCTATCTAGGAGGGAGGATGTGGGGGTGGCCCTGTTAACTCCCTCCTTGGTAGGGGCACATATTAGATCTCCTATATGGAAGGGATTTTGTCGGCATGGAGCCTAATCATGCCTTCCACCTTGAAGGACCCGGAGACTAGAGAAGAAATTCTGGCACAACGGATTTTTGAAAACCCGTTGCTGGTAGATCGGACAGGGGTACCGTGGTCAGCAGCGGACCACCCCGGTCATTTTGGACAGTCTTGGATCCAACGGGGAGTCTCTAGAATTGATGATCTTTGGGACTCGGAACTGGGACATTGGAGATCCTCTCTAGAGCTTCGTGCTAAACTTCACCACCTACATGGGGTCCCCGAACGAATCCAGTGGMTCCTAAACAGCATACCGGACACTTGGAAGGAGATGTTGTTATCTCCCCTCCAAGCTTATGAAGGCCACTGGGTCAGAACCATAGACGGGAAGGGAGAGATGCAAATTTGGAAGATCCAGCACATCTTGGATGATAGGGATGCGGTAGCTACACCCTGTTTGTTGGAAGAGGATCAGGGGTTGGGAACAACACATGTACTTCCTCTACAGGAACAGGTGATCAAGCTGAGCCCCAAAACGGCATCTATTGTGGTCAGAAGCTCCAAAACAGATAAAGGCCGGGAAATTCTCACATGTCCAATGGGATGTAATCCGGCACATAGGCTAACTGCTCTTCCGCTGCATTATGGGTGGAAGCTAGCAGATGGCTCCAAAGACTCCTGT